AGCAGTTGTTTAAAAAAGTTTAAATAGATTTTAATAAAATTTGACAAAATCTGTGGTTTAAAAATTGATAAAAATTGTGATTCCATAAAATATATGATTAAAATTAATTATTGACTTCTTGAACTTTTTGAAACTATCCTAAACAAGTACATTGTATCTTAAGGTTGCGTGAAGTTGCGATTTTGATTTGTTCCATTGTACTTAATTTCAATGTTTCGTATGAGCTTTGTCCACCCGTATGCAATCATCTCGTCTTGAATTGAGTTCTTATAACTAGATTTTTCATTTTTTCTTTGTCTTTTTGTAAACTTACTTAGGTCTTAGAATAAACTTTTTGTAACAAGTGGTAAGTCTTTTTACCACATCTAGCCAATTCGTTCACGTTTAAAGCGTGTTTTGAAGTTGTTATAAACTGTACGAATTCTAAAAATACAGAAATAAATGATGCAAAGTCAAACGTAACAAATTAAAAGTTTTTAAGAAATTTTGAGTGGAAGATGAAGAGAATAATTATGACGCCGTTTAATTCGATTACTGAAAATCAAGAATTCCTCTTTCAATCGATTAAAAACAAGAAATCTAATATCAGAAACTGCCAAGAAAGGGACACCTGTTTGACTCCCATTTCTTTTAGTGGAATGCATTTTAAAATCGTAGATTGATGAGAAATGTGCGATTAACAAATAAGAAAAGAATTTAAATTTAAGTGTAATATTATTCTATTGAAAAAATTATGATTAAAAAGAAAAAATATATTTTAAAAATAATCAAAAACAAACAAATATAAAAAAAATTCTACATTCCTAAGCATCAAGATAAATAAGTCGTTGACTTCATTCAACTGACCCGAAAATTCAACCAGAATTCTTGATTGTTGACCGTTGATTTCTTCCCAATCGTCGTCGTCATCATCATGTCAGAGAATCCCACCATTAACACTGTATCTGGACATATGACTAATGCACGCAAAAGAATATTATTTAGAATTAGCTTTGCCTTTTCAGTTTTCCATTTTTACCCGGGTTTTCCTTTTGTAGAAAAATTGCAGCCGTACCACCTAAGAAGAAGAAATATCAAATATATACGAAATTCACATTACAGTAATTAATTATTACCATAAGAAGGGTAAATACATAATTTTCACTGAAATAAAATTACTTAATATTTTTATAATTTTTTCTTGAAAGATTGTGTATTTTATTTTTCGTTGGGCAACATTGTTATGTGTTTTGCACAATTATACTCCAAAGAATGTCTAATCTTTTGTCACATCATTTCCCATTGGCTAATGATTAAACAGATGTAAATCACAAATAATCAATTACCTTCTACATTACTTATATCAAAATAATTGGACAGGTTTAAGGATTGGGTCTTTTCTAGTGAATAACCACCTTATCATTTGGTTTGAGCATTATTTTTATATTTTCAGTCTATCCTTATTTAGCATAAAAAAAAATTGCATAATGTTTAACCAATTTAAAAATTTGCACAAAATGATAGTTAAATTTAATCAGAGGTTCAAAGAATAATTAGGTTCAACACACTCACATGTTTGTGTTGTTCATGTAAGTGTGACGTGTTCATTTTACAATTATGATATAGTTTTAATATAATTTAATTTGATTAATATCTTGAAGAAAAAGTTTCAAACGGGGATTGAGAGTTTCTCGTCCATTAGAACCATAACAAAAAATTTAATTCTCTAACAGACTATAAACATGTTTGTAGGGTTGGTAAATGTTCGGTTCGGGGTCGGTTCGGCCAAAACCATAACCGAACCACCAATTTTTTTGCCATATCATAACCACGTAAGTCGGTTTCGGTTCGGTTCAGGGAGGTTAATAATCATGAAAACAAATTATTTTTCATAGGTCCAGTCGTCAAATTGAAAAAAAAAATTTATGAAAAAAGTCACACATGCTGGTTATTAATTGATAGTCGAGTGAATTATATTGGAGCACTTCAAACAATTTGCGTTGTTGATTACTATTTAGATGAAAAAAATAAATTTAATAGGTAATCGGTTCGGTTCAGAACGACGACGTAAACACTATACCCGCATCACCCCGAACCGGCTCATTAAAATCGAATACCATATCCGTTCCATTGCACCATCGGTTCTTTTTTTTTTTTTTTTGGTCCCGTTTAGTTCAGTTAACCGCGGTTTTTAATTTTGACATTTTAAATTTCCATCCCTACATGTTTGGCTAAGCTTTCAAGGTATAAGCATCTCATAAGTTCAGCCAAAAATGGTACGTATGTAACATAGACAAATATCAACTTACAAGTAAGGTCGAATTATTTGTAATCCAAAGTGGTTGACACAAATGAAAAACATCATCCCTAAAAACAGTAATGCAAAGCACAACCATATTGTGATGTGAGTTAGTTGCATTTGAGGGACCTAAGAAATAATTCCATTTGCAGAATTGGGCCAAACAGAAAATGAAAGAAAGCATAAAAATGGAGATTCATAGAACCAGCAACTATATGCAAAAGCAACAGGGCCACAAGCCACATGTTGCTTCTTGCTTATAATTATAGTCATGGATTTACTTCATTTCATTGTCTAATTGAAATAAATTTTTTGAATAAGAGTGGTAGAAATTCATCGACGTGGTCTTATTTGAAACATTAGATGCATGCTTAACTACTATATACCACAAAAGAAAGGATGTTTGTCACTTCAACCATATGTACGGGAATGCACACGGGAGTGGGGAGCTAGTGGGAGCCATCCCATCCCTTCGCATCCCATTATATTAGCGTTTGGTGGAGCTCAATGTGAAATCGAGAAGAGATTATCTGTTTGATGTAGATTTTTCGAGAAAAGAGATTTGTCAGGAATATTTGTAGTTAAAAATTACGGAAAAGTCATGAGTTCACATACGAAATTATACTTTATTTGAAAAAGGCGTGATTGAAGATAAATTTTAAAGAATCTGTATTAAAGAGGTGCTTAATCGGGGGAGATAAGGTAGGATATATATTCATTTAAAAAGAAAAAGATTAAAATAGATAATCTTTTGTTTGCATAAATAAAATTTTAATTTATTTTTCTTATTCAGTACAGTCTAATATTATTTTTATCTACTTTACTTTACCCAGGAACACAATTAAAATGAAAAGAATATACCTTAAGCTTGCTTTGTCGGAACTAGAATAAAAAAATATTGTTGAATCTAGTCGAATTAAAAATCATCTACATTCAACTTTCCTAAATAAAAAATACTTTATTTTCTTTCATTACCTAACAATCAAAAAATTACAAAAGAATGTTACAAAAGATGAAAATGGGATTCCATATAAAATCAATCATGCTTCATACAGAAGCCTGCCGGAACACACACATAGGAGGTGGGTGGGGGTATTTTTTGGCATTTTTTTATTTACGATAGGTCCCACACGTGAGAGTAATCTGGTCAAATTCTGTAGAAAATTTTCTGTACAAATGGTTTAATACAAAATCAATTGATGAACTCTAATAATTGTTGCCTATAAACGCGTGTGTTCATGCACTACTTCAAATGGTATCATAAATCCAATGAGCAAGGAAATATCATGGCTTAGACGCCTACGGTTCACTAAAAATGGGAATTCTTCACTCTCCGCCACAAAATCTTAAGACCTTTTCGAAACTTTCCATGTATTAAAAGATCTCTTAAAATGGATGACGTTGAGATATGAATTTCTTACGTAATATTCCATTAAATTATATTAACTAAAATCTTAAATAATTATAATATTCAAAGTTTAAAGAAAATAATAAAGTAATTTCGAATATTAAATTAAATACGCAAACGATTAGATTGGAAAGGAACCAATGACCATCTTATTTTTCTTAAAAAATACGAGCTTTCAATCAATAATTATACTCATGTACTCCATAATTGATATTCTATAAATCAATATGTATAAAATAATTATGCTTTTCTCATAGATAAATAAATATATTAATAGATATGGTAAAAGACCAAACAATACACACACACACACACTTTTATGTGTGCATCATAAGCACTAAGAAAGTAACAAAAATTACTATAATTAATAATGGTCAAAAGTTACTAGGTAAGTGAGAGGCAACTTCGTAGATGTCGAGACCGTCACGTCTTCTTCCTCTTCTTCCTTACTTTTTAATTTCAAAGTGACTAATTTACATTAAACTATAATTCTTTGAATACCATTTGCAATAGAAATGTTTCCTTTCATTTCGTTATTGAAAATTTAGATTATACGTTGTTCAGTCTACTTTAGTTATTAACAAACGTTGTTTTGATTCTGTATAAAAAACAATGAAATATATAAATCTCTCGTTCTCAAAATATCTTTATCATTCTCGTCAGATTATTTCACGTGTTACATATGAAAAATTGAACAAAATTCTTATAGCTTAGATTTTGACTTTTCAAGAATATTGTAGCAATGAAAAACTTGTTAAATAATAAATACAACGAAAGTACTTCCGGAATAATGAACAATGAAAGCTAATGGGAAAGTGAGAGGCAATTTTCAAACGTTGTCTTCAACATAGACTTCCACACAAAGTGTAGCAAAAGTAAACAAATAAAATGGGGCGTGCATGGTAAAAAGTGGCAACCACCACAAAATTAGGTCTATCAAAGACTCCCAAAAAAGCAAAAGAAGAGCCACTAATTAGGTCCCACCCCACCATAGATAGAAGGATCAAAAAACTTAAATACATTGCTATAGTCTACTGACTCATCCAAAGTTCGCAAGGGTCCATCAATATGTGATCACATACATTTATCACGAGTCTTGTTCCCACAATTCTTAGATTTGGATACGTTACTATTTATTTTATTTTTTTTGCGATAAATAATTTAATCTTCTATTCGCTAGAGTGAATCAACAGAAAATAGAAGGTTGTCCGTAAATTTCGAGTTCTTACATTTTCATACACGTGTCCGGTGTCGCTACATTACTTGTATTATCTTCTTTCTGGTACAATATCCTTAAGCCCTATAAATAGCCCTACAAGAACCTTTTATATTCATAGTGGGAGGTTCACATACTCAAAAGATAAACATATTTAGAGAGAGAGAGAGAGCGAGAGAGAGAGAGAGATGGCAACTTTCCCAGTGATCAACATGGAGAAACTCGACGGAGAAGAAAGGGCAGCGACAATGGAAATGATAAAAGATGCTTGTGAGAGCTGGGGCTTCTTCGAGGTAACTTTGGAGGCGTTGTCTAGTCTTGTTCAATCTCTTGCCTAATACGGTGAAAAGGAATAATTTTCGTATCCCAATAAATTAACTGAATATTAAGTATAATCACTTTTGTCTTTTGTCTTGTGTTCTTAATTGTAATTAGTTGGTGAATCATGGACTATCTCATGAGCTCATGGACACTGTGGAGAGAATGGCAAAAGAACATTACAAGAAATGTATGGAACAAAGATTTAAGGAAATGGTGAATAGCAAAGGACTTGAAGCTGTTCAAAATGAAGTAAATGATTTAGACTGGGAAAGCACTTTCTTCTTGCGCCATCTTCCTGTTTCAAATATCTCGGAAGTCCCTGATCTCGAAGAGGAATACAGGTAACTTTCAGAACTCGGACAAGAAGAGACGGTACATAAATAAGATTTTCTTTTTTAACTATTTTGTTCTTATTTGGTGCAACTGAATGTTGTCCACTGTCCATTCCATATTACGAGACATATCATGCGAGTTTTCCCAGTTCTTGATGAAACTCTTTTTTGGCGTTATGAATGATAACAGGAAGGTTATGAGGGAATTTGCTGGAAAATTGGAGAAACTGGCTGAGGAGCTTCTGGATTTACTATGTGAAAATCTTGGACTAGAGAAAGGTTACCTCAAGAAGGCATTGAGTGGCGCTAAAGGACCTAACTTTGGCACTAAAGTCAGCAACTACCCCCCGTGTCCTCGGCCAGAACTTATAAAGGGCCTCCGGCCACACACAGATGCTGGTGGCATAATCCTGCTCTTCCAGGATGACAAGGTCAGTGGCCTTCAGCTCCTCAAAGACGGGGAATGGGTTGACGTCCCACCCATGCGTCACTCCATTGTCATAAACATTGGTGACCAACTTGAGGTATATATCTTTATGTCCATTTCAATTCTTCCCACTACCAAAATATCGAATTGGATCCCGACCCTTCTAATCCGAATATCTATCATATGAAAGGTGATCACGAATGGAAAGTACAAGAGTGTGATGCACCGAGTGATAGCACAAACTGATGGGAACAGAATGTCTATTGCTTCATTCTACAATCCTGGAAGTGATGCTGTAATCTATCCAGCACAAGCCTTGGTAGAGAAAGAGGAGAATAAAGAAGCATACCCAAAATTTGTGTTTGAGGACTACATGAAACTTTATGCTGGCCTCAAATTTCAGGCCAAGGAACCCAGATTTGAAACCATGAAGAAGATGGAAAGCACAGTTAAATTGGGTCCAATTGCAACTATCTGAATATTATTTGCCTTAATCCATGTAATCTAATCCAGTACTATACCCCCTGCGTGCGCTTCATTTCTACGCGAAGTTCATGTGGTTATGCATATGGAAGCTAGTGAGTCCGTAGTGCTTGGATGATTTTAGCGTGTGTGTGCATGGCTTGTGTTATTTTATGGTGATTCTACTATGAATGAAAATTATTATCTTGCTTGAAGAAATCTACTATAAGTGTACAGAATTTCTTTGTATTGGTACATTCAGTGGGACATTTTTACAAGGCAAAAGAGAAATCTGCGTAGTGTAAGAATAATTTAAGCTAGAAAGTTAATTACGAGGTTGAATAGCCATAATCATATGGTTTACCGAAATAGGGACATCAACAGCTGCATGCATACCACTTTTTTTATAATTCTGTCTAACAAATGATGTTCTGAGCCCACAAAACAAATCTTAGTCAATTAAAGAACAATTCCGCTCCCTCGTTTGGTACTATAATTGCTCATGTCATGCACGTGTAAGACATGCGAATCGAGCAAGTGTATAAAGCATCATGATCGGAGAGTAACAATTTCATTGCATTCCTAAAACCTCAAACCATGATTCAGAAAATCATTCATGCAAGGACACAAGGAAATCTACGTGAAAACAATTTAACATTTAAGCATCTAAATTCATCAATCTTAGATAGGTGAATCTTACAAGGTTTGTAATTAAGTTGCAGAACCAACGTTGCTACTTCCTAGTTATCAGATATGTGAAAAATATCATAATTCTACTTTTCATCTGAAATGAGATCCAAACACGAGCCATGGGTAAGAAAATTAAGTCCTATCATTGTTGTTTAGGCACAAATATCGATAAAGAACACAGAAATTTCCTCTCTCTCTTGTAAAAATCAAAAGGAAGATCAAGTTTCATATAACTGATGAACCAAATTATAACAGGTCAAAGCCATATAAAATTTGGGGAAAAGTTCAATGCAAAAATTTGAATCAGCTTGAAAGTCAAGACGATACAGGGACATGCCCAGAAACTGAAAAGCTTCAGTGCTGAATACCCCAAGCTACAGGTACTCAACTCTAGTATTCTGCATATAGAAGGCACTTCCTCTCCAATTGAAACACAAGAAATTTTAAGGAATTCAATTAAAGGTGTCACCTAAAATCATATTACTTCCCGGAATCTTGACATACTACATTTTCACCATCTACTTTATCATCCACTTCCGTGTTCAGTTCCTCATTCTTTTTTCCATTCCCTTCTGCAGACTCCACATTGGAACCATGATTTTTCAGAACTGTCAAAACGTCAGCTTCGGAGGCCCCAGCAAGTTTAAATCGCTCGACTGCAGTCTCCAGGTTTCTCTTCCAACCGGGCAAGCCCAACTTACATTCGACCTGAGATCTCTCGAAAAGCATGTTCCCCCAAAATAGATGGATTTGAGATCTCATAACCGCAGCTTGCTCTGCTGCTTCCTCAGCTGAAATTTCACCTTGAACGCCTATCGCTGAGGAATCACCTTCAACATCACTACCCTGCTTCTTCCTTCTCTTTAACAGTTCATCCTTCTTACTCATATTAGGATCCTTCAGTTCTTTTGCTCTCTGCTCTTCCAGCTTTTCCCACATTTCAGTTGCTGCTTTCATTTTAATCTCTGCACTGTCAAAAAGTTCAATAGTCTCGGCAGGATCCCATTTCGACAAATCTTCTTTCTTGGCCAATACAAATGACCAATGAAGTTTTGCCATTTCAAATTGTTGTTGCCCCAGTGCCAACAAACCTTCATAAAAATCTGGTTTGATCAAGAGTGCCTGTTCGTATTTCTCTCTGGCAAGAGAATATTTTTCTCGGACCCAGTCATGTGCAGACTGAAGCTGTGTAGCCATCAATTCCTTTGAAGCTGATTCATCAATGGGAATCCGTTTCCTTGCTGCACACATATGAACATTTCCCCAATTGAAAAAAGCCAGAGCAGCCACCTCCTGGAACTTCAGAGAAGCCCTGTCGAAAAGGCTTTGGGCGGCTTCACCTGTAACTGTTTCCTCGAGGGCTTCAGAGCATAGTTCCATACCAAGCTCATGCAGATCTACATGAGCATCAGGATCAATGCCGACATGGCTACGAAATAATTGTGCAAACTCAAATAGCCAATCGTCCATCTCCACCTCCTTGCACTCAGGGTCCTCTGATTTTTCAGTTTTCTCCTTTGGAATTATCTCTTCAGTCTTAGGAATCTCAGCATCCACAGCTTCCAAAGCATAGTCACTTGTTGAAGATTGTGACACACTCTCATCTCCTTTTGTTCCTTCACTCTCCAGAGGCTTCTCTTCTTCCTCTTCCAACACAGGAGGCTCCTGCTCTGGGATCACCTCAACAACATGCAATCTCAACATCCCAATTGAGTCTCCTTGATCTGTATCAGGGTCTTTTGGAATAAGTTTGTCAACACCGGACTCAGCAATTCTAAGTTCACCCGTACATGTTATCGTCACTAAGTCACCATCATCATCCTTATATTTGATCAGTACTGATTTTGACATTGGCAAACGTTTGCTAACAACATCCCTCAACACTCGAAAACTACAATTCACTGGCAATTGAGCGAGCCTTATGTCATGATCATAAACAAGCTTCAGTGGCCTCCATCGCGTCACAACCCCAGCAGATTGCCCTTGAATGTTAACCAATGATGATGAAGAGCTCGAACGTTCCTTATGGTTGTCCTTATTAGCATTTGTATTGGGTTTTGAAGAACCATTCAAAGGCTTCAAGACAACTTTCGGATATTGGGTATTTGTCTCGGGACCGTTCTCAGTAGGTAGTATTGGATAAAACTTTTCTGATTTACTATTAGTAGCTGGTACAGCAGATCCCACTACAGCAGATACCTGCTTCTTAGGCACAGGCCTGGCCGGCAAACATGGTCCAAGGCCAGCGATTGGTGCCCCCACAGCAGAGGCCCCAAGAGCTGCTGGTGAAGGGCGACTCTGGAGGTCCTGCTGGGCCTCTTGACGAGGGCCAAGTGCCACCCTCAATCGCCTTGAAATCTCTAAGGCATCTTTATTATTTGGATCAGTAGCCAGTAGTGCTTGAACATCTTGCGTAGCCATTTCATACTTCCCTATAGCCTCGAATGCACGAGCCCTTCTTAGAAGAGCCCGGACAAACTGAGGTTGTACCTGAAGTGCCATGGTACACTCCAATATTACAGTATCATAATTTATCGGCTTCATTTGCATCAAACAAGCGGCCCTGTTACTATGGAACACAGCTCGGTCTGGGTGCATTTTTGGTGTAAGTTTAAGAGCATTCTCATATTGCTGAAGAGCACCCAAATAATCCTTAGCCTGAAACCTATTGTTTCCCTCTTCTTTTAGATCATGGGCTCTTTTCAAGAAATCTGATGAGTCGAAATTAACACCTCCATTAACGATAGGGGTCGAAATATTATCTCCCCCAGACACCTTCTGGTTCTGGTTAGCAACGCTCTTCTTCTTCTTGCCCCCAGATTTCCCCATATGATTCTCAGACCCGCCCAAGAGTCAAACTTTATTCTAAAATATAAATTTAGCAACACTGAACTCAATTTGGACAAATTTTTCAGTATAGATTAAAATCTTTCCTAAAATTCAGAAACAGAATAAAGGAAGAAAAGGCTACTTACATGTATGAACTTCAATACCTTTTATGAACAAGTTGACAGTTCTTGATTGAATTGTGAAGACCCAGAATTCAGATTGAGAAAAACACTAATTGGATGCAAAAGGTCTTTAAACAGATGTTTTCAGAGAAGATTTTATTAGGAGTAGGGGAAGTATACTGATAATGGGGTTTTCGGAAAGTGAGATGAGCTTGAAACCCTAGACTATAAATCCATTTTATTTATCTAAATTTATATAAAATGAATATCAGCTGTGTGCCCCACTCTATTTGCTCGTGTGGATCGTTGCAGTTGTGGGCCGTGACTGCACTCATTAGCCCATTTCGAAGTAGGGGTTGTTTTATAACACATTATGAACTCATAAGAAATTAGAAAATTTTCATAAAAAAGAGATTAAGTATGGCATATTTTAAAAATAAGAAAATAAGTTTCAAATTTCAAAAATTAAAATTTTATTAATTAATTATTTTATTAATTAAATATATTTAAGTCACATATCTATACAATGTGATCACAAATTAACAATTTAATTAACAACTTATTATTTTTTGTCACAAATCAGAAATTTTATATTACAATCACAAAAATTTGTAGGTCACGATTTGTTCATCGGTCACAAATAAAAAACTAATTAGTCACGAATTAATTTTTAATTACAACTTATCAAATTATTGGTCACAACTTATTTTTCGATCACAAATCAAAATATTTATAGGTCACATGTTATTTTTTGGTCACAAATAAAAAAATGTATAGGTCACATATCACAAATATTATATATTACAACTCATTAAACAGTCACGAATTATTAATTTTTTAGACCACACATTATTCTTTGATCACAATTTATCATTTTCATTGGTCACATATTGTTTATTGAATACAGATTAACCAATTTTAATGGTTACAGTTAACCGAATAATCCATGACCAACACTTGTGACCATGACAGCCAAAACCACCGACGACCACCATTGCTAGATCCACTGCGATAGGTAGCACCTCTGCCTGCACCACCAAAAAAAAACTTCACAAACCTCTAATAACATCTAGCACCAAGGTAACCCCTCAACATCGCAACCTTTTTTTTTTTTTTTTAAACAAAGTCTGTTTCTTTATTCATGAAAAATAAAAAACAGGTATTCAGAAATTTTTTTTATAACACCACAGATTTCAAACATCAAGTGATTTAACAAAAGTTGAAGGTCATAGAAGTAGATACCTGCAAATGAGCATTTTAAATTCCAGAGTTTAACAACTGCAGCTCTGCAGGCAAAATCATGGCTAGTAAGAAGATAAAACACGAAATTTTCAGTATCTTTGCTCCATCTTCTCCTTTTCCTGATACCATTGCGCATAGGAGTTCCGACGAGAGGGCCAAGGAGAAGGGTAGCACTGACCCAATTTTCAAAGGTCTTGTGGTGGATCTTACAAGGTAGATCCTTCTAGATGCCTAGCATCAACTTCTATCAGAATGGACACAAGATGTAAACCACCGCCTTCATTCTCACCGGCTGCTTACCCATCACTTTCTCTCTCTAGAATGCACACAGTAGTTTGGT